TCCGTGTCCGGTGGTCCCGTATGGTGAGTTGTCTGGTCTCCACCTCCCCTCGTTCTCTACAAACTTGGTGAGCATCGGTGTCCTCCAGGATGCGGGGGTTGACACCTTCACCCCTGGCCGTCAGCGTGTGACGATTTGCACGTGCTCCGAGATCGGCCACCACCTGGCCACGTTCACTCTTGCGCCAGGGTCCAATCTGTACACCCTCACCACTGCATCACGCTCCGCCCCTTTGTCTCCCCAGTTACACGCGTCTGCTCAGGTAGCTATCCAGTGTGAGTGTCGCCGGCTGTCGCACGACACTCTCCTGTGGCACCACCGCCTTGGTCACCCCTCCCTACCTCGCCTGCGTAGCATGCACTCTCGCTTCCTGGTCTCTGGTCTTCCCAGGTCTCTGCCTGCCCTCCCTCCCTCGCCTGTGCCACCCTGCATTCCTTGCGTCGAGGGGCGGCAGCGCGTCGCTCCTCACTCCTCCTCGTTCCCTCCCACAGAGGCTCCCCTGCAGACTCTCCACCTGGACGTGTGGGGCCCAGCCCGTGTTCGTGGACAGGGCCACGAGCGGTACTTCCTGCTGGTTGTCGACGACTACACGCGTTACACCACGGTCTTCCCTTTACAGCGCAAGGGGGATGTCCCTGATGTTTTGATCCCCTGGATCCGCGCTGCTCGTCTCTTCCTCCGCGAGCGGTTCCAGTCGGACTTTCCTGTCCTACGTCTGCACTCTGACAGAGGTGGTGAGTTCTCCTCAGACCTCTTGGCGGCCTTCTGTGCGGAGCACGGCATCCGCCATACTTTCACGCTTCCGGCCTCTCCGCAGCAGAATGGGGTTGCTGAGCGCCGCATTGGCTTGGTCATGGAGGTCGCTCGTACCTCCATGATCCATGCGGCTGCCCCCCATTTTCTGTGGCCGTTTGCGGTCCGGTACGCCGCGCATCATCTCAACCTCTGGCCCCGTGTCTCCTTGCCGGAGACCCCGCCCACACTGCTGTGGACGGGGAAGGTTGAGCGCGTCGCGTTTCCGGGTCTGGGGTGCTCGTGCCTTTGTCCGCGATACCACTGCGGACAAACTCTCCCCTCGCGCCATTCCTTGCGTCTTCCTTGGCTTTGCCCCTGACGCGCCTAGCTGGCAGTTTTACAACCACGCCTCGCGCCGTGTCTTTGCGTCTCAGGACGTCACCTTTGATGAGTCGATCCCCTTTTACCGTATCTTCCCCTACCGCACTGCTCCTCGCCCCCTCCCGCCGCTCTTTCTCGCCCCAGGTCCTCCCCAGGTAGACCCCCTCCCTGCGCCAGGCCCTGCTCCTTCAGGTGTTTCTCAGGTAGACCCTCCCGTCCCTGCGCCTGTTGAGGTCACTGGTGACTCTGGTTCTGCTGGGAGTGGTGCTGTCCCTAGGGTGTCAGAACATTATAGCTTACTTATTTGTGTAGGCTATAGTGGGGTATCCCATAGGGGGTTACAACCCAATTAGGGTTTCATATTTGTACTCACTTCATTCATAGTTCATTCATTCTCGTTCACTTCTTCACATGGTATCGAGCAGGGCCCACCACCTCGAAACGTCTTTTTTTTTTCTGCCCTAGCCGCTAGCGCACCGCCCGCCCTCGAATGTGAGCGCCGCCCCTAGCGCCCTAGCGCCCGTCCGCGGCCTGCTCTAGCGCTAGCTGCCCGACGCGCCGCCCACAGTGCTGCCCGACGCGCTGCCCTAGCGCCGCCCTAGCGCCGCTCGACGCGCCAGCCTAGCGCCGCCCGACGCGCCGCCCAACGCGCCGCCCTAGCGCAGCCCGTCGCGCTGCCCGTGCAGCCGCCCTAGCGCCGCCCGTCGCGCTGCCCAACGCGCCGCCCGTCGCGCTGCCCGCTGCCCGCCCTAACGCCGCCCGTCGCGCTGCCCAACGCGCCGCCCACGCGCCGCCCTAGCGCCGCTCGACGAGCAGCCCGTGCAGCCGCCCGTGTGCCCGCCCGTGCACCCGCCCGTGCGGCCGCCCGTGCACCCGCCCGTGCACCTACCCGTGCGGCCGCCAGTGCAGCCGCCCGTGAGCAGCCTGCGAGCCGCCCCAGCAGCCCGTACAGCCGCCCCAGTCGCCCGTAAGCCGCCTCGGCCGCCCGTGCAGCCGCCCGTGAGCCGCCCGCTCGCCGCTCCAGCCGCCCGTGCAGCTGTCCACGAGCCGCACCAGCCGCCCGTGCTGCCGCCTGTGAGCCGCCCGCAAGCCGCCCGCGAGACGCCCACGCCGCCCGAGCCGCCCGAGCCGCCCACGCCGCCCGAGCCGCCCGAGCCGCTCGAGCCGCCCGAGCCGCCCGAGCCGCCCGAGCCGCCCGAGCCGCCCGAGGAGCCGATCTTCTGCTCCTGTGGGGCTCCTGGGCCGGCGCAGCTGCTGTGCTGCCGTGTTGCTGTGTCGTTCTGCTACCCGACTCTTCCTGCCCGGTGAGACTGTCAGCTGCTACAATGGCCACCCCCAGTGTCCTGACTTTTGACGCTGAGGGTCGCGCCATTGACTTTGCTGTCTGGATTGAGGACCTGCAGCTGTACTTACTGTGCGATGCGATCGATAAGGTTTCTCTCTTTGACTTTGTCTCTGGCGCTGTCCCTGCCCCTCCTGCTGATGCTGACCCCACTGTTCGCTCCAAGTGGGCCACACGCGATGCTGCTGCACGTCTTGCTGTGCGTCGCCACCTCCCTTCCTCCGAGCGTGCACACTTTAGTCAGTGCAAGACCGCTCAGGCCTTGTACGACGCTGTAGTTGCGCGCTACTCCTCCCCTTCCACTGCTACACTGAGCCGCCTCATGCTACCGTTCCTCTTCCCTGACCTTGCTGCCTTTCCCACAGTCACTCACCTCTTTACCCACCTTCGCGCTAGTGACACTCGCTACCGAGCTGCGCTTCTTGCTGCCTTCCTCGCTGAAAACCCCCCTCCCATGTACATCACCCTCTACTTTCTAGTCACCCGTCTCCCTGAGTCCCTTCGTGCTGTTAGGGACCAGTTTCTCTCTGTCTGTCCCACCACCCTCACTGTCAACCTCCTCGAGAAGTCCCTGCTAGCGGCCGAGAAGAGCATAGTCGCTGTAGGGGCCTCTCGTGGTGACCCGCGCACCCCCATCTTTGAGGGGTGTTCTCCTTCCCCCCTGCTACCCTCTGTCGCCTCTGCTGCTGCGGCCGACCTCGTTGGTTTAGAGTCGGTCGGTGCGGCGTCTGCCCCCAGCGGTAGGCGCCGCTCTGGCAGGAGCAAGGGGGGCAAGGGAGCGGGTGGAGCTAGCGGGGGCGGTGGCGGAGGAGGTGGGGGCGGCGGGGGGAGTGGGGGTGGCGGTGGGGGTGGAGGCGGGGGTGGAGGTCCTGAAGGCGGCGGTGGAGGCGGAGGTGGCGGCGGAGGTGGTGGCGGAGGAGGCAGTGGGAGCGGCGGGGGCGAGGGTGGCGGTGGCGGCGGTGGCGGCGGAGGCGGGGGTGGCGGTGGTGGAGGTGGTCGGAGTGGCTCGTCCCAGAGGAGCGGCACTGGGGGTGGTCAGCGCCACCAGCAGCAGCAGCAGCACCAGCAGCAGCGCTCTCGCGACGTCCCTGCCCCTCAGCAGCTCCGTGAGTGGTACTCGCAGCGTCAGCGTGGTGGGGCGTTCGGTCCCTGCACCTACGTCCTTCGCACCGGCGACCGCGCGGGTGAGCAGTGTGGGGGCACCCACACCGCTCGCCGCTGCTTTGCCCGCCTGACCGACGCTTGGCGCCAGCAGTTTCCGGAGGCCTCTGAGATCCCCCGCTGGGGAGAGCTGTCTAGGGCTGGTGTAGCTGTGTTTGATCTTGACTTTGATGCTATCCTTGCTGCCATGTATGCTGTGAGTGTACGTGATGATGGTGACTGTTACCGGTGCTTTCCGCCCGACCCGGGCATTGGTACTGCTGTGTCAGGTGCCAGTGAGGCTGCTGCTCTAGGTGCCAGTGCGTCTGTGCTCTCAGGTGCTAGTGAGTCTGCCCTCTCAGGTACTGTGTCGGCTTCTGCCTCCCACACCTTCACCCTTGACTCTGGGGCGTCTCGCTCCTTCTTTCGGGACCGCACCACTCTCACGCCATTTAGTCGGCCTGTTGCGGTGTCCCTGGCTGACCCCTCTGGGGGTCCTGTCCTGTCTCGTTTCTCCACAGTCCTCCCGTGTCCGGCGGCTCCCTCTGGCACCCTGACTGGTCTTTACCTCCCCTCGTTCTCTACGAACCTGGTGAGTGGTGCTGACCTACAGGATGTGGGGGTCCACCAGTTCACTCCTGCTCGTCAGCGGGTGACACACTGCACAGAGGCGAGCACAGGTCGCCACCTGGCTACGTTTACACGTCAGCCAGGGTCGAGCCTGTACACACTGACCACTGCTTCTCCTCCCGGTGCTGAGTCAGGTAGAGTCCCTTCGTCTGGTCAGGTGTTTGCTGCAGCGTCTAGGTCTGGTCCTGAGTCTGCCCTCTGTTCGTGTGGCCGTCTGTCTCACGAGACTCTCCTCTGGCACCACCGCCTTGGCCACCCCTCTCTGCTTTGGCTCAGAGGCATGGCCTCCCGTCTTCTTGTGTCTGGTCTCCCCCGGTCCCTCCCTCCCCTTCCTCAGGGCCCTGGCCCTGCCTGTGTCCCCTGTGTCGAGGGGCGCCAGCGTGCTGCCCCTCACTCCTCCCAGTTTCCTTCGACAGAGGCTCCGTTGCAGACACTTCACATGGACGTGTGGGGCCCTGCCCGCGTCCGTGGACTCGGTCACGAGCGCTACTTCCTGTTGATGGTTGACGACTACTCGCGTTACACCACTGTCTTCCCCTTGCGCAGCAAGGGTGAGGTCACTGAGGTGCTGATCGACTGGATCCGCGCAGCTCGTCTCCAGCTCAGGCAGAGCTTTGGCTCGGACTTTCCTGTGTTGCGTCTGCACTCGGACAGAGGCGGAGAGTTCTCCTCTGGCCTTCTGCGTGCCTTCTATCGTGCGCGAGGCATCCGCCAGACCTTCACGCTTCCGGACTCACCGCAGCAAAATGGGATTGCAGAGCGCCGCATTGGCATGGTCATGGACGTCGCTCGTACGTCTATGATGCATGCGGCTGCCCCCCATTTTCTGTGGCCGTTTGCGGTCAGGTACGCGGCGCATCAGATCAGGTGCGGAGTCTAGGGGTGCTGAGCCTGGGGGTGCTGAGCCTGGGGGTGCTGAGCCTGGGGGTACTGAGCCTGGGGGTGCTGAGCCTGGGGGTGCTGAGCCTGGGGGTGCTGAGACTGGGGGTGCTCCGCCTGGAGGTGTTTTGCCTGAGGGTGCTGAGCCTGGAGGCTCTCCGCCTGGAGGTGCTTCGTCTCGCCGAGAGCCACTCTCCCCACAGGAGCTGCGTGAGTGGTTTGCCCGGCGCTGGAGGCGTGCTGCTGGTGCTGGAGGTTCTTCGGCTACAGAGGGTGCTGCTGCCGCGCGTCCCGGAGGTCCTCGTGCTGTGGGTGCTGGAGCTGCTGGGTCTGCGGGTTCTCCTGGAGCTGGTACTGCTGAGGGTGTTGGCGCTGAGACTACTGCTGGTGGTTCGACTGGCAGTGCTCCTGGTGCTGCTGGGGGTGCTGGAGGTGCTGCTAGAGGTGCTGCTAGAGCGGGTACTCCTGGTGGGGGTACTGGTGCTGTCCCTGCTGTTTCTGGCGTCGCCACGCGGCCCCGACTGTACTTGGTTCCGCTCCTGCAGCAGGTTCTTGGTCTGACACCTTCTCCTGGTCCTCCTCCTCCTCCCTTAGAGGGTCCACGGCCAGTCCCGTCACAGTTACAGCTACAACCTGCCTCCCCTTTGCCTGCTCCTTCTCCCTACGCTGGTCCGACTAGAGGTCTTACTGAGCATCGTGAGCCTGCGTCTCGTCCTGCGTCGCCTGTTCGTACTGCACGCACTAGTGGTCGCGGTTCACGTCAGCGTCCTCCTCCTGTCCCTGGCACGCACCGGATGTCTCTGCGTCCGTCTACTGCTCCTCTGCGTGCCCCTTTGCCTTCTCCTCCTGCTTCCTCTCTTCCTGCTCTTGCCGACCCGGAGTCGGACTCTCTTCGTGCTGCCAGTCCCACTGTCACGCGTCTCCTTGCTACTGCTGTCACTGACCCTTCTTTCGAGTCTTCTGCTGCGTCTGCCCTTGTCACTGAGCTTGTCGACTTTGCTGCGCGCTGTCGTCTAGACTACGCTGCTAGTCTTGTCGCTGAGTCTGAGTCTGCCTGTCGTCCGTCCGTTGGGGGTGAGTGTGCCCTAGGCACGGACGTCTTTGAGGACAGGCAGGAGGAGTTCCAGTGTCTGGCCGCCGCTTCACCTCATCTCGCGTCTGTACTGCTCGCCCCTGAGGGAGACCCGGATGCACTAGACATCCCGACTCCGCGCTCTTACGCGGAGGCGATAGAGGGTCCCTACTCCTCTCAGTGGCAGGCAGCTATGGATGCAGAGATGGCTTCCTGGAAGTCCACGGGCACCTACGTTGACGCTGTTCCCCCTCCTGGGGCGAACATCGTCAGTGGCATGTGGATCTTCAGGGTGAAGCGGCCGCCGGGTTCTCCGCCTGTCTTCAAGGCTCGTTACGTGGCTCGTGGCTTCAGTCAGCGACAGGGAGTTGACTACTTTCAGACCTTCTCCCCCACCCCGAAGATGACCACTCTTCGGGTACTACTACACGTTGCTGCTCACCGCGACTACGAGCTGCACTCTCTCGACTTCAGCACAGCTTTCTTGCAGGGCAGCCTGCACGAGGAGATATGGCTGCGTCGCCCACCTGGCTTCACTGGGTCTTTCCCTCTTGGTACCCAGTGGAGTCTCCGGCGTCCAGTCTACGGTCTCCGCCAGGCGCCACGTGAGTGGCACGACACACTGAGGACTACGCTTGCGGCACTTGGGTTTGCTCCTTCTACTGCCGACCCGTCGCTGTTTCTGCGCACCGACACCTCTTCGCCGCCGTTCTACATCCTCGTGTACGTCGACGACTTGGTCTTTGCCACAGCGGACACTGCTGGACTCGCCTACGTGAAGTCCGAGCTGCAGAAGAGACACACGTGCACTGACCTGGGTGAACTGCGCAGCTACCTTGGCTTGCAGATCACCCGGGACAGAGCACGCCGCACCATTACCCTGACTCAGTCACACATGGTGCAGCAGGTCCTTCAGCGCTTCGGCTTCACGTACTCCTCGCCTCAGGCCACTCCTCTGCCTACTCGCCACTCGCTCTCAGCTCTGCCTTCGGATGAGTCCGTAGAGTCGAGTGGGCCGTATGCAGAGCTTGTTGGCTGCCTCATGTACCTGATGACCTGCACACGACCTGACCTTGCATACCCTCTCAGCATTCTCGCGCGCTATGTTGCTCCTGGGAGACACCGACCAGAGCACATGGCTGCAGCGAAGAGGGTGTTGCGCTACTTGTGCAGTACGTCGGGCATGGGGCTAGTGCTTGGAGGGCGCAGTCCAGTGGTCCTCACTGGGCACGCGGACGCTTCTTGGGCTGACGACCAGGCTACGCAGCGGTCGTCACAGGGTTACACCTTCGGCCTTGGTTCCGGCTCTATCTCGTGGCGGGCTACCCGCTCGTCTTCTGTTCTCGGCTCCAGTTGTGAGGCTGAGATCTTCGTCGAGGCTATGGCTGCTCAGGAGCTTCGCTGGCTCACCTACCTGCTGACCGACCTTGGAGAGCGCCTTGTTCTCCTCCAGTCCTGTACGTAGACAACAAGGCCATGCTGGCCTTGTGTCGAGAGCAGCGACTGGAGCACAGGACAAAGCACATTGCTCTCCGCTACTTTCTTGCTCGTGAGCTACAGCAGCGTGGACAGTTGCGACTTGCGTACGTGGCCTCTGAGGCCAACACTGCTGATGTCTTCACCAAGGCACTTGCGCCTTGTGATCATCAGTGTTGCTGCACGCAGCTGGGTCTTGTGCCTGTCTTGCCTCACTTGCTCACTTCTTGACCTTGCTTGTACCTTGACCTATATATACTCTTGCTCTTGCTTGCTTGACTCTTGTATATCTCTATATATGATCTTGCATGCGAACTGGCCTTGTGGCCCTTGACCTTGCGCTCGGAATGTGTGGTGACTTTGTGATCCACCCTGAGCTTTGCTTTGCTTTGCTTGACTGGTCTTGTGACCCCTTTTTCTCCCCCACTTTGCCTATGGGGGTGTGTCAGAACATTATAGCTTACTTATTTGTGTAGGCTATAGTGGGGTATCCCATAGGGGGTACAACCCAATTAGGGTTTCATATTTGTACTCACTTCATTCATTGTTCATTCATTCTCGTTCACTTCTTCACATAGGGGTGCGGAGCTTAGGGGTGCGCAGCGTGGGGGTGCTGAGCGTGAGGAGCCTAAGGGTGCGGAGCCTGGAGGTGCTGAGCCTGCGCGTGAGGAGCCTGGAGGTCCTGAGCCTGGGGGTGTTGCGTCTGGGGGTGCTGCGCCTTGGGGTGCTGCGTCAGGGGGTGCTGCGCCTCCGTGTGCGGAGCCTGGGGGTGCTGGGTCCGGGGGTGAGTCGCCTGAGGGTTCTGAGACTGCTGTTACGCGGTCTCCTTGGAGTAGCCCTCTTCGTCCGCGTGTGCCTCTCACCTCCCAGCAGCTGCACGACTGGTACGGTCGCCGTCAGCGTCGCGCTTCTGCACCTCAGGGCTCTACTGCTGGGGGTTCCTCTGCTGGCGTCAGTGGAGCTGGGAGTGGTACTGGTCCTTTGCCTGCTGGATGTGCTGGTGTCGCTGGTCCCGGAGGTGCTCGTACTAGGGGTACTGGAGCTGCTGGGGCTCGCGGTGGTGTGTCTGAGGGTACTGCTGCTGGTGGCGCTGCGGTTGGAGACCCTTGGACTAGAGGTGCCGGTTCTGGGGGTGCTGCACCAGGAGGGGCGGGAGCTGCTGAGGGTGCTGGAGCTGCTGGAGGTATTGGAGCTGCTCAGGGTACTAGGGCTGCTGGAGGCACTAGAGCTGCAAGAGGTACTGGAGCTGCTGAGGGTATTGGACCTGCTGGAGGTGCTGGAGCTGCTGAGGGTGCTGGAGCTGCTGGAGGTGCAGGAGCTGCTGAGGGTGCTGGAGTTGCTGGTGCTGGTGGCACTGCACAGCCGCGCCCGTTCTTTGCTCCGCCGTCTCCGTCATCTCTGCCACCGCCTGACTCCGTGCTTCGCCAGGTTCTTAGCCTCCCGTCGTTTACTTGTCTTCCGTTACAGCCTTGCTCACCTCTGCCCGCTCCTTCTCCTTACGCTGAGCAGACAGGGGGCCTTACTGAGCGTCGTGAGCCTGCGTCGCATCCTGTCTCACCTGTCCGTTCTGGTCGTTCCAGTCGTCGTGTTCCTCGTCAGCGTCAGCCGGCTGTCCCCGGCCCTTCCCTTGTATTTCGTCATCCTTCCTCTCCTCCGCAGAGTGTTCCTCTGCTGTCTCATCCTGCGTCTTCTCTGCATGTCGTTGCGGACCCTGAGTCTGACCAGTTTCGCACTGAGCACCCTACTGTCACGCGTCTGCTAGCCACTGTTGTCACTGACCCGTCGTTTGCGTCCACTGCTGGGTCTGCCCTAGTCGTTGAGCTTCTCGACTTTGCTGCTGCCTGTCGTCTAGACTACGCTGCTCATCTTGTTGCTGCGTCTGAGTCTGTCTGTCCTCCGTCCGTCGGGGGTGAGTGTGCTCTTAGCACGGACGTCCTTGAGGACAGGCACGAGGACCTTGAGTGTCTTGCGGCCGCTGCGCCTCATCTCACGGCCATGCTGCTTGCCCCTGAGGGAGACCCGGATGCACCAGACATCCCCACCCTGCGCTCTTACGCTGAGGCGATCGCGGGTGAGTACTCCTCTCAGTGGCAGACAGCCATGGACGCAGAGATGGCATCCTGGAAGTCCACATGCACGTACGTCGTCGAGGTTCCCCCTCCTGGGGCAAACATCGTCAGTGGCATGTGGATCTTCAGGGTGAAGCAGCCGCCAGGTTCTCCGCATGTCTTCATCCACCTGGCTTCACTGGGACTTTCCCTCCTGGCACCCAGTGGAGCCTCCGACCGCCAGTCTACGGTCTCCGCCAGGCACCGCGTGAGTGGCACGACACACTGAGGACTACGCTTGCGGCTCTTGGGTTTGCTCCCTCTACTGCTGACCCGTCGTTGTTTCTGCGCACCGACACTTCTCTGCCGCCGTTCTACATCCTCGTGTACGTAGACGACTTGGTCTTTGCCACTGCTGACCCTGAGGCTCTAGCCCTGGTGAAGTCGGAGCTGCAGAAGAGACACACGTGCACAGACCTGGGTGGGCTGCGCAGCTACCTTGGCTTGCAGATCACCCGGGACAGAGCACGCCGCACCATCACACTGACTCAGTCACACATGGTGCAGCAGGTCCTTCAGTGCTTCGGCTTCACCTGGTCCTCAGCACAACACACTCCTCTGGCTATTGGTCACTTGCTCTCAGCTCCACCTTCGGACGAGTCCGTAGAGCCGAGTGGTCCTTACTTAGAGCTAGTGGGCTGCCTCATGTACCTGATGACCTGCACTCGTCCTGACCTTGCGTACCCTCTTGGCCTTCTGGCTCGCTACGTGGCTCCTGGTCGGCACCGAAAGGTGCACATGGATGCTGCTAAGAGGGTACTGCGCTACTTGTGCAGTACATCGGGCATGGGGCTCGTGCTTGGAGGGCAGAGTCCAGTTGTCCTCATTGGGCACTCAGACGCTTCTTGGGTTGATGACCAGGCTACACAGCGGTCGTCACAGGGTTACACGTTCAGCCTTGGCTCCGGCTCTGTTTCTTGGCGGTCTACACGTTCGTCCTCTGTTCTCAGCTCCAGTTGTGAGGCTGAGATCTACGCCACTGCCATGGCTACACAGGAGTTACGCTGGCTCACCTACCTGCTGACCGACTTGGGAGAGCGGCCTCGTTCTCCTCCAGTTTGGTACGTAGACAACAAGGCCGCCATTGCCTTGTGTCAGGAGCACAGACTGGAGCACAGAACGAAGCACATTGCTCTGCGTTACTTCCTGGCTCGAGAGTTGCAGCAGCGGGGTCAGCTTCGCCTTGCTTACGTGGCCACTCGGGCCAAAACTGCTGATATATTCACCAAGGCACTTCCGTCTAGTGACCATCAGCGCTTTTGTACTTTGTTGGGCCTTGTGCCTACGTTTCCACACTTGCTGTAGTCTCTGTTTGTACTGTGAGATATATATATACCTGCATGCTTGCTCTTGCTAGCTAGAGACCACTGTGCTGTTCTTGTTGCTTTTATACCTCTGCATGTGGACTGGCCTTGTGGCCGTTTGCTTGTGCTTAGTGTGTGTGGTGAC